AAAAAAATCTTTTATTTATTTATTTATCATTTGGTACAGGGTCTTGCTGTGCAGACTTGCAGTGGATCCTCCTGTCTCAGCCTTCCAGCTTCTGGGATTACAGGTGTGTGCCACCATGCCCTGTCAGTGGCTGGCATGGCATGTGGTACCCATGATTGAACCCGGGTCTTTGTGCTTGCCAGGCAGGCGCATGGACTGCCAAGCTACCTCCCCCGCCCAAGACTCTATCTCTTAAAAAAAATTAATTGTAGAAGGAATGAAGACGTGCTGCTCTTTTTAGCCCCTGAGCAGTTCTTATGTCTGGGAGGAAGGTGGTGAAGCCCTCGCAGTTCCGATCAGCCCTGAGAGTTTCCACCCCATTGCCCTGCACATCAGTACCCCAAGGCTTCTCCTAGTTAGAACTGCAGTGTCTGCACAGTCCTCCTTCACACACACTTCAGCCCAGCAGCGTCCTTTCTTCCCTTGCTCAGCCAGCGACCTCTCCACCCAGGGCTGCCCCTGAGAGCTGAGGGTAGCTGCAGAGAGAGCCCCAAGCCCACTCTTGGACTCAGGCTGCCTGGATGCTCTCACCTCCTGCTGTGCCCAGCGACTGCTTCACACCCGTTTCTCTCAGCTCAGACCACTTGCAGTTCTCTTTTCCTAGCCAGTTTCTTATTTGACTGAGAAAATAAGAGAAAGATGCTGGTAACTTTCCTCTGTTCCCAGCACCAACGCTGCCAGTCTGCCCCAGAGCCTGACCTCTCCCCCATCTGTCTTGGTTATTTTTTTTTTGGTTGTTGTTGCTCAGACAAAATACCTGACACCCAGAGTTAAGGAAAGGAAGGTTTATTTAGCTCACAGTTTGTGGGGGTTTTAATTTCTCTTTGGCTGTTTTTAAAGCAGAGTGGCTCATGGCAAGGGCAATAGCTTATGGTCGTGGAAAACAGCAAAAGCAAGAGCTTTGGAAAACATCCACAAGATCAGAGAGGGGGAGGCAGCTGCGAGCAAGCCTCTGTCCCTCCCTAATAGTGCGTGCTGGCTGCCTGCCCTAGGCAGCTGTAGCACTCACACCTTTCATCCCAGCCCTGGCCCTTGCATCAGTCAGAAGGAAGCCTGCCCCATGACCGCACGAGGCTTCGGAGGGACATCTAGGCACAAACCGTGACACGTCCTTGTGCGTGTGCGAGAAAGTGTGTGCCTCAGCAGTCTGTCCTAGGTCCCCTGTCCTTTGGCAAGCAAACACAGAGAAGCCACCTTTCCAGGGTCCTGCGTGTCAGGCTCTATTCTGAGTACCTGTTGTGCTGACACACAGTAGGGCGAGAGCACTGGTGCTGCAGGCTGGAAGCTGTGACCCTGGGCCAGGCTCTTCGCTTAGAGTGTTCATAGCTGCAGAGCCTTGCTGGGAGTGCTGCTCTGACGTCACAGCTCCGGGACACTGCTCTGTGCCCTAGTTGTCCCCTCAGACCTTATCTGTCAGCCTGCCCGGCACCTGCAAGCATCTGCTGTTGTAAGAGCCCCCCCTCCCCAGCTGCACCTGATGTCTGTTCATTTCCAGCTGAATTCTGGGGTAGTGTTCTACGTTCGCTGTGTGGACCTCTTCATGGTGTGCTTTCTTTTGAACCTCTCCAGAAGGGCTCTTGCTCCTTTCGTTCCGTGGATGCGACTGTGCTTAATCTGGAGGGTCAGCCTCACATCTCTCAGCCAGCCCCTCAGAAATGCTGCACTCATTTGCCTCCTGTGACATGGCACTGTCCTTGGTGTCTCTCCTGCCTTGGCGTCCCCGATCTGTCCCCTTTGCCAGTCCCTGCCCTGCTGGCCAGCCTTGGTGGTGGATTTCCTGGGCTTGGGTGGACCGCCATCCTTTCTGTCCACTGCCAGTTGATAACTCCTCTATTTTAACTTCTGTAGACTTTCAGCATTTCTATTTGGACCTCATAGGCCTGGCCATTATACAACTGGTAAATACATTTCAAATAAAATTCTTGATTTTGTTTTTATCCTTTGGTTCTCATTTTCAGTGATGTGACATCACTCTCCTGCACCTTACATTGTAATTGCCAGCAGGGCTCTGCCTTCAAATTACTTCCCAGATCTGGCTGCCTTGCCCCACTTCCATGACTGCAGCCCAAGACCAAGGACCCATCATGTGCTCTCTGTTTCACGTGGTCTCCTAGGAGGTCTTCCTGTTCCCTCTCTTCCTCCACTGCAGCATTTTCCGCCTGGAAGCCAGAGGCAGACTTTATTTATTTATGTGTATTTATTTATTTATTTATTTATTTATTTTATATTTTAGGGAAGGGTCTACAGGGTGTTCAGGGTCTCACTACTAGATCGGATCCATAGTGATCCACCTGTTTACAGCCTCCCAAGAGCTGGGATTACAAGCACACACCACCATGCCCAGTCTCGATGGCTGTCTCAGCACACCCCGGGGTTGGGGCCGGCACAGCAAGCCTGGGGATCAAACCCCTGGCCCCTGCTCCTGCTTGCATGCACTTTAATCCACTGAGCTATTTGGCCAGCTCCAGAGGCAGTCTTTAAAACCTAGTCTTGCCCAGCTACCCACTCCTGTCTCCTATTCTGCGTTCTCTCTGCACCCTCCAACCCAGTCTTCTTAGCCGTTCTCTGAAGCAGCAGGTACCTGGGAGACTCAGAACTTACACTGTCCTCTCTATTGAGAATGCCCTTCCTGTAGCTACTGACCTCAGCTACACGACAACGGAAGTCATCATTTTAAGATGGTCTCTGTTCAAACTGTATCTTGTCAGAAATGCTTTCCTACCTTTCCCCAACTAAAATAGTTGCATCTGACATTTTTAAAATCTTCTTGACAGTAGTGTTCAGAGTGTAGAGATGGGTGTCCATTGGGAATCTGCTTGCTGGGAGGCATTTGGTCCCAGAAGCAGAGATGTACAGCTGTATGCCTGGTACCTGGAGCAGCACCTCGTAGGCGTTCAAGGAATGTCTCTTAAATTGTGGACTAGTGACAGCGCTAAGGACTGTAATGTTAAAAGACATAACTTTCAATGTGTTTTAGTTTAAGGTGATTTTTTTTTTTTTTAACAGCTTATAGAGATATTTTCCTCTTGAGACCCCAGAGTGATTTGGGACCTACAGATAAAGGTGACCGGCAAGCAGCTTCAATTTCTGCTGTTCAAAAAGTTCATAATCTTTAAGTTAAATGTGTTGTTTGTTCAGCAGACAGAATATGTTTCCCCTTTTTAACTCCTGAAAAATTCTAATATTTAGAAAACCTAGCAAAAAAGGTGTAGTTATGCAATAATATGGGGAAATTGTGGCAAAAGAATTTAAAGCCACTTGCAAAAGAAACACTTTCATGGTAAGAAGTATAAAGAAAAGAGTTAGTGTTTCTGTTTTTTTTTGGTATGGAAGTTGAACTCTGGACATTGCTCCTGCCAGGCAGGTGCTTATGTCCCTGAGCTGTTTCCCTGGCCCCTAGATAATATTTCTTTTTTTTGTATTTTAGGGAAGGGTCTACAGGGTGTTCAGGGTCTCACTACTAGATCAGATTCGTAGTGATCTGCATGTTTACAGCCTCCCAGGAGCTGGGATTACAGGCATGCACCACCACGCCCAGTCGCTATTGCTATCTCAGCACAGCTCCGGGGTGGGGCCAGCATGGCAGGCCCGGGATCGAACCCCCAGCCCCTGTGCCTGCTTGCAGGTACTTTAATCCACTGAGCTGTTTGGCCAGCCCTCGAGTTAATATTCCTTAAAACCCAAGGAACCTCTGTTCTGTGAAAGAGGGCTGTCTCCGTGTGGAGAGATGTCTGTTCGTGTGTGTGTGTGTGTATGTGTGTCTGTGTGTCTGTGTGTGTGTCCCTCTGCTGGGCTCTGTGGTGGTCAGTGGTGGGTGAGGTCAGGGGGACAACAGGTGAGGGGCTCACTGCATGCTCAGCACTCCTCTGGGCTTTGGGGGCACATCCGTGACGAGGAAGCAACTCGAAGCACCCCTAGAAAACAAACTGGGAGCAGAACAGGTGGGGATCTTATTTTCCTTAAGCCCCCTCTTCCTGATGCCATGAAAATGACCACGTGTACATGTCAGCACCTGTGATGGTGACAGTGATGGCATGTTTTTCTTTTTTTTTTTTTTTCGATGGTATGTTTTTCGTGGGTCACTTTTCTGACTGTCCTGAATAAAGGTCCCTTTCCCAGTTCTCTTTGGAGTAGGACTGGGAGTGCTGGTGCGGTGGTTCCCGGTTACGCAGTCCCCCTCCCGCTGCCTGCCTGTGCCTTTCACATGACATGCTTGTGCGCTCTAATCACCGGTATGCAGGAATAGAGGGAAAAAACACTGATATGATGAATTCTAGTCTTTCATGTAATGAGATACAGAGGGATGGTATCAAATCCTTTCAAGTTCTGTTGCTATTTTGGTGTGGTTTCTAACATAAACCCTTCATGGCTCCCCGAAAACAGAAAGGGTAAGATTTCCTCCCTACAGCGCTCGCTGATAGCAGTGCCAAATACCTGAACTTTACCTCTCGAGAAGCACGGTTTGTGATGTGTGTTTGGCATGACGGTGGCCTTGAAAGTTTAAAATATGGGGCATTTGGTGGGTGTGTAACCGTGCAAAGCGCCCGTCATCCAACTTCGGCAGCAATTTGGTTATAAGAGGTCCAGTGTAGTGAATATGTAGGGTTTGGGTCATTTTAGGAGATGGATTTGTTTGATTTTTAATATTTATTTATTTTTGGTGCTGGAAATTGAACTCAGGACCTTGTGCTTGCCAAGAAAGCACTTAAGCCGCTGAGCCAAATTCTCAGCCCCGATTTGTTTGAGAATGTGCTCCTTGCTATGGTTTTATGTTTTCATTTCCCAGAGGGAGAAGACGATGAGGATGAAGAGGATGAGGAAGATGAAGATGAGGAAGAGGAGGAGGAGGAGGAGGAAGAAGAGGAGGAGGAAGAGAAAGATACAGACTCCCTAGACGAGAGCTTTGGTGATGACACCGAATTGCGGGGCTTTACTCTCCCTGGGGTCACCTCCCAGGAGCCTGGCTTGGAGCAGGGGCTCAGGGACCCGCTGAGGGGAGCCACGTACCAGGTGCCCGATGCCATCGAGTGGGAGCAGCAGAATCAAGGCCTGGGTAAGAGTCTGGCCACCTCCTTTCCTGAGAGCACAGCTTTCTTTCATTGACCAGCATGAATTTGCCGACGCTTCTGAGTAGTTCACTGGGGAACAGCTATGTCTCAGACAGGGCTGGCAGCGCCAGGTGCTCCCTGTGAGCAGTGTCGCCTGGCTGGATGGAATTGTATTTTTCCTTCCTTGCCAGAAGGCGGCTTTGGAAGGTCTTACAAGTGGGGTGGAGATGTGATTAACGGATGTGCCGAGCCAGCGGCAGCACAAGTGGGCAGGGAAAATTGAAAAGTGTGTCTCATCACCCTCTTGCCTGTGGACTTTTTTTCCCAGGAAGGTGCTCCCTGTTCTGGGGAGTGGTCAGGCTGCACCCCAGCTGCCCATTGTCAGCCACAGTCTTGTCCCAGCAGCCGCACACAGATGGCCTCTCCTGCCTTCTCCTGTGTGGGGTCTGTGTTTGCTGTGAGAGTCCTGGGTTGGTGTCGCCTGATGTGGCACCACTGCCCCAACATGTCACCTTCCTCCCTTGTCAGGGGGAGACAGTGGTCATCTTTGAGTGATAGAACTTTCTCTGGACCTGAGGTATAAGTGCTTTCTTGTCCAGAGAAATCCCCTCTTTAGAATTCTCTGTCTCCACCAGCTTGGTCTGTTTATGCCTTCACTGTGGCAGGCAGCTGAGTCGTCAGATTACCAGTTTGGGGGACATTTTATTGTAAATTTGAATGTGGATCTGGGAATTTGTTTTGGATGTAATTATGGGATTATTATTCTATTGATTGTCATAAAACTTGCAGTTGAACTGTGGCTGAGATTTTCAGTGAAAATCTGTAAAGAGAGGGGATAATAAAGGATGGCCATCCAGGGGCAGCCAGAGGGCATTATTCCTGTGCATGCAGGATTTGCCAGATCATTCTCTGAGCAAATGAAGCATGTTTTCAGCAGTAATTGCTTCAGAAAGTATCAAATAAATAAAAAAACTTATAAATGCATAAAATATACTCTCATAATGTTGTAAACAAAACAACATGAGCCCTAGTTTTGAGAAAGTAAACAAATATTTATTAAGCAAAACTTCTAGATGTACAGGCTGAAATGAATAACGTAAAATGCAAACTGGAGGTAGAATTTCTTTCTTTCTTTTTTGGTGGATCTGGGGATTGAACTCAGGCCCTTGAGCTTGCCAGGTGAGCACTTATGCCACTGAGCTATCTCCCCAGTCCCTGGAGGTAGAATTTCTTACATAGCAAGTTAGAGACAGAGACAGAAGTCTGTACGTGTCTGCACCTCTGGGGACTTTGTAGTATGGAAGTATCACTTGCAGTTGCTTAGTCTATTTAGTATGGATAAGATGAGTATGAGGCTGCGGCACTTTGCTGGAGAGAGAGAGAGAGAGAGAGAGAGAGAGAGAGAGAGAGAGAGAGAGAGAGAGAGAGAGAGACAGAGAGAGAGAGAGAGAGAGAGAGAGATTGCCTTTGTTATAGAAATGAGTTCACCTGGCATCTACCCGAGAGTTGTGGTCAGAGCAACCACCTTTCCTCGCTTAGGAGTTTTGCTTGCTATGGACGAATAATTATAAGTCACTGCAGGTGGCCAGTGTGATAGCTCAGTGGAGCTGTCCCTCACTTCAGACACACTTTTCCCATTTATCATGCTGCTTTCTGAAGCAGCTCTGGAAGTGCTCTTCCTTCAGTGTCTTTAGTTCTGTTGTCTCGGGTGCCTTGATGTCCTTTTGACTCTGGGGAGAGCCAGAGATCACACACTTCCAGGTCCAGGGAGTAAGGTGGATGGAGACACACGGTCGTGTTTTTATTTGGCAGAAATTGCTGTAAGTGGCTGATTAATGAGAGGGATCACAAAATATGGTGGAGCACTTGCCTCGGAAGTGAAAGGTCCAGAGTTCAATCCCCAGTACTGCAAAAACAAAAAAACAAAATATGGTGGATGTTTTCATTAAAGACATTTATTTATACTAAAAGACACATTGCCATTAAACTCCCTAAAAATATTTCAAATATTTTCTTCTTACTTTGAACATATCCTGTTATTCTTGGGAATGTGCCTTTGCCTGTGGCGGGTTTTTAAAATGTAAACATTTGAGATTGGACTCGTAGTGATCCTCCTGTTTTCAGCCTCCCAAGTGCTGGGATTACAGGCACATGCCACCATGCCCAGTCTCAATCACTGCCTCAGTGTGCCCCGGGGGTGGGGCTGGCATGGCATGCCTGGCATTGAACCCTGGTCCCTGAGTCTGCCCAAGCAGGTGCTTTAGTCCACTGAGCTATCTGGCCGGTCCTTGTATACTGTTTTGCACCTGGCATGTTTCATTGGGTGCTGTGATTTTGAGATTCAGCTGTATCCGTAGTTTGTCCTTTGTCATAGCTGAGTAGTATTTTTTTTTTTTTTTTCTTTTTTTGTATTTTTTAGGGAAGGGTCTACAAGGTGTTCAGGGTCTCACTACTAGATTGGACTCATGGTGATCCCCCTCTTTACAGCCTCCCAAGAGCTGGGATTATATGCGTGCCGCCGCGCCCAGTCTCGAGGATGTCTCAGTGTGCCCCTGGGGTGGGGCCGGTACTCCAGGCCTGAGTAGTATTTAGTTGTAGGAAGTACTGCATTTTGTTTATTTGGTCACCTGCTGATAAACATTTGAATTGTTCCTCTGTTTTAGAAAAAAAAGCATTACATTTTAAGGTGTGTCAGGCAGAAAGCTCAGGACAAACAGCTCTGTAGCCCCCCCTGTCCTGCTTCTTGCCTGCAGCCCCCCCCCCCAGCTTAAGGTTCATAAATGAGTGACACTAACTTAGTGATTTGTTATGTTTGCATTTATTTGCTCATTTTATTTTATTAGTACATATTTATAATTCATACAGTTTGCAATTATCTTGAGAAGTAGTTATGTGTACACATTATAGCTTTTTAAAAATCCCCTGATTATGCCTTCAAAAGGGATTTCTGCAGGTCCTAAGGCCTTTTTTGGTGACAGAGATCAAACTTGGGACCTTACACTTGCCAGGTAGGTACTTATACTGCTGAGGTATGTCCCCAGCCCCTGAGTTTTTAACATCAGATTTTTGGTTGTTATAACTAACTATTTCTCTTAGTATTTCTTGTTACCTTAACTTCTCTCAATAAATTCATTTTGCCATCCTTTTTTTTTTTTTTTTTTGTATTTGGTTGCTATAGGGTCTTACTATGTAGCTTGAACTCCTGATAATCCTCCTGCTTTCAGCCTCCCCAGTGCTGGGATCATGGGTGTACACCACCACACCTAGACTTTGGCTGGCCCAGCCTGCCCTGGGGGTGGGGCTGTCTTGGCATGTGGTGCCGGGGATCAAACTGCAGTCCCTGTGCTTGCCTAAGCTTGCCTAAGCAGGCGCTTTAGTACCCTGAGCTATCTCGCCAGCTCTTTGCCTGCCTGTTTTTAAGCATTGCATATTGTATAGAAAGCCAAAAAAAGGAGCCCATCTTTCTAGTTGGTCTTTTTCTTTCCTGTGTATTGTATTGACTAGTCTGAGTCTCGAATTTTATTAGCCCACTAACTTTTCTTGGAGGAATAAGGGATATAGCTTCTCATAATACAAACTCAGTAATGACTTCCAGTTGAGAATTACTTGATCCAGTTTCTGGGTACTCTCAGGTTAGATCCCTACTAGTGCTGGGTTTGTGGTGGGCAAAACAGTGGCTGTCCAATGGTCCACGCCCTGATATCTGAGACTGTAGGCACACTACCTTCGTGGCAGAATGCACTAAGTTTATGTTGGTGTGTCACAGTAGCAGTGGGGGACCAGTACAGGTTACAGCAAGAGGTATGTTATTTTGCAGGGCAGCTCTGGGTAGAATGTGAGCATGTTAACATGAAGTCTACTTTAAGTCTATATTTTTTCCTAATGAGTCCATAAAAATTTAAAAAAGAGATCCTTTAAAAATAGTCCTGGCAGATAGGGTAAACGAAACTGCATATATTGCAGGTTAATAATAAGCTTCTCTTCTGGAGGGTTAATAACCTAAGCTAGCAGTTCAAAATTGGAGAAAAGGAAGGGCTGCAAGGTCAGCCAACATTTTGGCCCTTGCTTTTCAAGGTCAGTGAAGACTCAGGACATAGGAGAACCTGTACTGTAACAACATGTAACTCAGTTGTGCTCCAAATTTTCTGATTAGAAGATCATGGAGCCACAGAGGAATGTGATTGATGATGTAGAGT